TATTAAAAACTAATTTAGTTGTTTAAGACTACAATGTAATGTAATCAATTTGATATAAATTTTTATGGTTTTTATACTTTTAAAGATTGCTGTTTCTAATAAGTATATTTTATTATTCTTAATGCTTGATTGACATTACAATTAACATGGGGAGCATAATTGATTTCGAAAGAAGATTTTATACAATAACTTCTAATAATATATATTACAAATTGAACAGAAGTCTAAGCTTAACCAACTTGGTCTGCGTAACATTAGTAATAAGTAAACTTGAAAGTTTTTACATAATTAGAGAATTTCATATGATACAATTGATTTTTATTTATTTAAATTTACATAAAAATATATTGAGTTAATAGTTAAAGATATGTTTAATATAACTTAAGAAAAATATATCAAATAGAATATGAAATTTTGTTGTTACGTGATAGTAAATATCTTAAAAGTACAATAATTTTAAAAAAATCTATATTAATTAGTTATGATGAAATTAGATATCTTAATACCAGATATCTTGGTATCTTATATTTTGGTTAGATTTTGTTTTAGCTTGTTCTTCTTTTTAGCTATTTTTAATTAAATTTTATTTTTTTATTTGTTCAAATAAATTTTAAATTAATTATTTTTGATACTAAGTTAATCACAATTTTTTTGAGTTCAATATTTTTTTCATAACTTTATTACTTGAACAACTAGTATACTTAGCAATGATTTTAGTGCATCAATATTCATATTCCTTCCAATTTAATTTACTTGCCTCATTTTATTCATTTACTAATATGTTTTTTGTTACACATGATCATGTCTATAAAACAGAGAATAGTCCTTACATTTTCTCAAATTTCTCTTAATTTAACTCAAGGTTCAAACTTAATTTAGAATTTCAAACTCTTAGTTAATTGAGTCATCCATGTAAGGGTACTTATATACTACTATTATTGACAAATTTTATTTAATATAATAATTAGTTTTTATCTTTTCATATGCATGTTATATATGTATCTCAAAATTACTCACCCCAACTTCAAATATTTGAATTTGGTTAAGAATTAAAATTTTTAAATAATATATATATTTATCAATTTGACTCTTAAAGAAAAGAAGACAAAAGAATTAAGAGATTGTTGAATTAAGTTAGAATCGAGTAATTTAAAATTTTTATTTAAATCTCCTACCAGCTAAACCTCAAATAAAAAAAAATGATTTGGGGTCTTATGGTCATGTAAATTCTTGTTGGATAACGAAAGCTTGTTTTCAGGTAGCTAATGGATTAAATTTGGGGTGTTTTGGTCTCTGCAGTTTGCTTTGTGAGGGCAATTTAATCATTTCAAATGTTAACTGACGCATACTAACCAATGTTTTCAAAACCGGACCGGTTATTGAACCGTTTTTAGGTCCGGTTCCCGGTTTGACTGGTTCAACCGGTTGAATCGGTGAACCAGCCGGTCCAAACAATAAGGAAGGTTTGATGAGAGGAGTAAGCTATAGGCATTGATTTTTTTATTTGGTGTTGATAATTTTGTAATTTTGTTAAAGTTAAAGGTTAAAATGGGTATAAGAAAGGAATGGGAAGGGTGAAATTGGAAAAAATTGAAAGAAGATTGCATGAGAAATTGAACCGGTGGTTTTTCTGGTTCCACTGGTTCTATCGGTTTTTACTGGTTTTATCGGTTTTTAACTGGTTTTTACCGGTTTTATCGGTTTTTGACCGGTTTTGACCTCAAACGATTTTCTTATGTGAACCGAACCGTTTTCATGACCGGGTACCGGTCCGACCGGTTCAACCGGCCGGTCCGGTCCGGTTTTCAAAACCTTGATACTAACAGAATTCCTTCTTACCGTTGACACGCTGTTACCTAATTCAATACTTGTTTGTTATGTGA